TTAGGAGATATGAAAAATGAATCTAAATCTGTAAGAGGTTCTTTAATGTATAAATTAATATCAGTAGAAGAAAATTTGAATATTAATCATGATGATATTATTACGTATATTTCTGAGAACACATTTAACGTACCAGGTGCTACACATGTTGTAACAGGAATAAAATGGGGAAGCACTATGATTGCGTCATTTGAGTATGAGAAAACAAACGAAAAAGATACATCACAAGTCAAAGGAATTCTTAAAGCCAACCTTGAAATGCTTTCGCCATATATTCCTACCCCTCAAGGGACCGGAGATGTTCTTAATGTCAACAAAGGACAAACTGATATTAAGGATCGGTTTTCTATAAAAATTTTTGGAGATGTTATTACTGATGATAAAATTCTTCCTCAATCCTTCGATGACGCAAAAAAAATAATGGCCGAACTACCATCATATGTTAAAAAATATAATCACGGAAAAGGTGTTCCAATTGAACTTAAACTTTATCCATTGTCTAAACTTGCAAGGCAGCTTAAGCAAAATATCACTATCAATTGTATGATAACGGAACTGAATGAAGAATCAATTTTAAAAGTAGAACAAGTTTTTGATAATTTTTTAAAATCTAAAAAAATGCTCAATGATTTATATAATGATGCGCAAATTATCTCCGATTATATAAAATACGAAACTTTAGATGAAATTGAAAAACATGTGCAGCACGTTGAAATAGAGGAGACAAATATCAGAAAAGAACTCGCCGATTGTCTTGTTGAAGTACGTTCTGGTAAATGTGACACTAATGAGATTGAGAAAAAGATAACTAAATTTCAGGAAAGCATTCTATCCAAGGAATCTATTTTGACATTTATTAAAAAATACAAAATTGTACAAGAAAAAGCCAATTTAATTTTCAATTTGAAGACAAAAAATGTAGAGTATGTTAAAAAAGACGCAACAATTGACTACATTATACAGATATATCAGGACTACGAAGTCTACATTCTTCTTGATAATGATGAATATATTGTTGGTGGTAATTCTTCACCAGAATATACTAAATTTCAAGACTTATTTAAAAATTCAGATGATGTTTCTTGCAAATTTTTAATAGCAGAACTTAAAATATGTACGAGAATAAAAGGGCCTGGTTATCCAATTATTCTTCATTACATCAAGGGAAAGCCAGCACATGATAGCTACAGTTTTGTTGATGAGGAAATAAACATATTGTTGCTTGGTGAAGTCGGAGTAGGAAAATCTACATTTATTAATTCTTTTGCGAATTATTTTACATTTAATTCATTAGACGATGCAAGGTCTAAAGAAAGAGTTTTGATTCCGTCTGAATTCATAATAACAGACAGTCATGACAAAAAAGCTAAATTAATAAAAATAGGTGAAAATGATTTGAACGAACAATTTAAAAACAAAGAAATATCAGCTACTAGGGGTTGTAAAAGTTACGTGTTTCATGCGGCTAATAAAGTAATAAGATTGATCGATACTCCTGGTATACATCAAGATGCAGAGAATTTTGAAATATCTTGGCACATATTTCCCGTTTTCAACACTTAAATGGAATCTGCATCCTTCTTAAATCAAACAATACGCGACTGACTTTAACACTAAATATTGTATTTTTAATATTTTCTCATTTTTCGAAAAGTGCAAAGGACAATATTGTTTTTTGCTTTACTAATTCTAGAGAAACATCATACCATCCAGGAAATACGCTACCACCACTTAAAAAGCAACTTAGCGATCTTTTTCATAAATCTGGTATTGAAATCAAGGCTCAAAAAGATACAATCTATTGTCTTGATAATGAAGCTTTTAGATTTCTAGCAGCAGCTAAAAAAATATATCTTTTAATGTTGAAGAAAATTTCGCGATTAGTTGGAAAAATTCAGTGCGCGAATCAATTCGACTTGCACAATTTCTTACAAGTCGTCCACCCCACAAAGTCAAAGAGACACTATTATTTAACAAAGCTAGGAGAGTAGTTGAACATCTTGAAGCCATACAATCTCAGATCTTTACTGAAATTCTATTAAAAGAGACTAAAATTCAATTAAAAGAGACTAAAATTCAAGTAAAACTAGCACCAGAAGAGAATAATATGTATATTAATATATGTTTATTTATTGTCATTATCATTTTAAGTTTCATGATCGGGCAATTATGGAATCAAAAAAAAGTAACATCATCTACATTAACAATAAATTCAATAAATTCGTTGAATCATCATCACCTACAAGTTGAGTTTGAACAAAAGACCATTGGGAAGCCTAACGATGATGCGATGTTTAAGATGCAAGTGGAGCACAATAAAATACTATCTGACGTTTTATCTGACGCCAAGAGGTTTATAGAATATGAAAAGGATATTGATAATGTAAATAATGTAACACATGATCCATTTTTGCTTCTTTTGCTTTTTCTCTGTATTATTATTGTTATTGCTGTCATATTCTGGATCGGATTTTTGTTCTGGAGTAAGAAATATTGTTTCACAATCAATATAAAGACGGATGATACAGCAAAAATCCAGAAAACGCTAAAGGAAAAAAAGCTAAAGGAAAGAAAGATTATAGTCGAGATTAAAGAGATGTTTGATTTATTCTTAAACCAAAATTCAATAGTAACTATGGATGAAAATAAACAATTAAAATGTTCAGAAATGTTTGATAAAAATGGTTCTAATACTTTATTTTCATTAAGTGACATAGATAAGCTTGAAGATAAATTATATAATTTGCCAATATTTGGCCGAACTATATATAAAAAGTTTGAAGAAGAATTTAAACAGAAGAATAATCAATTTAGATATTTAGAACATCACTGTGAGCTTCCTGAAAATAATATTGCGTTAAAATCTTTATTATTCAACAATTAAGATTAGCATAAAAACAATTAAAACAATTTAACCTGTCATTTTCTAATGTGAAATGTTATTATTTATTTTTATTTGTTTTATAAATATATATAAGAAGCTTTTTAGATTATAACAAATATAGAATATATTTTCTAGTTACTGTACTTGTTAGCAGTGTGTGAAATTCAATTTTGACTTTATGTTCTCACCGAGAACATTTTGTAAGTCCTTTAATGTTCTCAAAAATTT